ATAGTGCCTGGTACTCAGTAAGTAATAAATGTCAGCTGTTAGGATTACTAACACTCGAAGGAGACAGAATAGAACACTGGCATTGGAATGACTGGGAATGTGTTAGAATGAAGTCCACACATATAAGACCACTGTTAGGTAGTGTAGGCAGTAGTCCCGCCATAAATTCTCTATATGACCTTCACTTAATCTCTCTGGACCTTAATTACTTCTTCTGTAAAGTGATCTTAAGTTCCCTTCCATTAAATATATGGCTCAACATGAGACAAAGAAAATATGAAGGGTTCAAAACATTAAAAAAACTTTACCTATTTTAGTTTTATCCCACCATTTAAATAATACGAACATTCACTGAGCACAAGGAAACTTTCTCAGTACACTCAAAGCTTTGGAAGAACTCAGATGCTAGATAATCAGTTGCATTTAAAAAGTAAAGAAAAACTCTAAAGAATCACTGGAAAAAATGTAAATGATTGATTTCATCCCAAATCTTTAGCTTTATAAAATGAAATCATGAAAAACAAAAATAAGATAGAAGTGGCATCTTCCATTTATCTTAAAAAGTACATATGCCTAAGACTTATCAGAAATCACTGGATGAAACAATCTTCTAGAACCTATTTTAGTGAAAGTAATATTGTTCCTTTCTGGGTGCTCTTAGCTTTCCTAAATTAGTTTTTCCATTGAAACATAAAAATAATTGATCCCATGCCTACACCTTTTCACAAGACTATACGTTTTTCAGAGTTTTGTAAATTTTGTTCAAATTATTTTTCTTTCCCAGTTAAAAACCGTATCATTTTAACTGTCTTAAAAGTACCTGAATGTATGGCTAGATATTCCTGAAGTTTAGCCAAACTAAATGGTATACACGGCTCTTGGTAAGAATAACCTTGTACATCTGGCTCAGCCCGATGTCCCTTGGACTTCCCATTTTGATAATATTGAACTCTTTGTCACTCTGTGATTAAGTTGTGCTTTCTCAGGAAAAACACTGTAACTTTGCTTTCAACTTTCCTTCAGCCACAATATTCTTTCTCTGTCTATTCAACAACACACTCATTCATCAAGTCTCAAACAGTACCCTCTGTAAAACTTTCTCTGATTACTCACCACCATAGCTCCCATACTGATAAGTCACATTAGACCCTCTTGATATTACTCCATTGGTATTTTGTACATATTATCACTTAAATTGATTATCTCTTTGCATTGTTATTTTTCTGTTACATCCATCTGAAGGCAGGGACCATACTTTTCATGTTGCTATCACCTTGGTGCAGAATAGGCTACTCTCTGTGTTTGTTAAGTACTGGAAATATTTTTCTCAATAGAGAAGAAAAACCCTTACTAAATAATAAAATATATGTGGTCTTATATACCTTCATTTGTAGAATTGTTAACCTTACTCCATAACAAAGAAACATCATTGTGGAAGAGAACCAAAAATGAAGAGGAATCAGCACAAGGTTTAAAATAGACTAAGAAATCATATTCTATGGCACCTCTCCAAAACACCTTTTCCAGTATTGACAACAACACAGAATACCATAAAATGAAGAAATGCTTCCAATACTCCCACAGATTATGGACTTTAACTCAAATATGTGGCAACCAAGAGTTTATCCTCCCTTTATTTTCTATGGACAAACAAAGAAGATGGCACTGAACCACTTTTAGAAATAAACCCAAATAAACATAAATCTTGCAGTAGAACTCATCAGCAGTAAAACTGTAAATGCTATTACAGTATAATGTCAAACTTCAATCCATTTAACATCAAAAATAATTAGGTTTAATAATTTTTCTAGAGTGACATCTAACAATCTAACAACATACCATTGTAAGGAAACCTCCCCCCAGAGTTTATCAGCGTACTTCAAGTATTCTTATAAAGTGCAAGTAGGAAAGAAAATTTCACATTCGCCTACAGAATAATTATAAAGAAAATGGAGTTGTTTACAACTCAACTGAAACACAAAATTTCCAGCATTCTCTAACTACAAACAGAAAAAGTTTCAGTCAGAAACTCAGTGTATCAAGAGAACATTCTTGAAAGTTAAATGGAAATTATAACAAGAACATATTCCAAAATCAGGCCATTTCTTTATGCAATTACTTGTTTCCATTTTGTAGCTGTCATACTTATTTATCAATAATGAATCACTGCTCTGTTCTTCTCATAGTAATCAAAATAATAAAACGTAGCAAAACAAAGAGAATGTGTCCCCCAGAACTTAAGATATTATCTTGGGGAGATACAATTAGAAATATTTTCAAGTACTGAATTCCAGTGACCTCTAATTTAGTGAACAGGATAACACATATAAGTTCATATAAAATTTAAAGCATACTTAAATTTCTTGCTTTGATTTATGGGACACAGACTTTAGAACTGTTAGACATGCAGATATTTTGGAATGTCAAGAACTGGGCGTGGTGCCTTTCTTTATTACTTGAAAAATGAAAGGAAAGTTTCAATCAAGTTTTAGATACTTTAAATTCTGAAAGACCTCAGAAATGTTTCTAATGAGGAAAAAACACTTTTCACTGTAGTGAATACTATATGTATAGTATTTATATATTTATTTTATACTTACACTATGTAAGTATAGGTACATATTTGGTATTTCTTAGAAGAAAAACACATAACATGTCCTAAGTGTATCTTTAAACTATAAATCAGTTAAAACTCTACTGCAATGACTACTACTACCAAAGAAACACTTCCACAGGAAGACACAAAGAACCAGGTTCTATAGCACAATTCACTTCTACAAAAAATAAAACACAGAAAATGATTTATTTTCTCAATATTGTGTCATGTATTGGTGAAGTACCAAAATGAAAAGAAAAAAAAAAAGAATTCATCTACAAGAGCACTTACATAAGTCTGAAGAGGAACAATCTAAGACCACTGGCTAGAGATATCAGAAAATTGATCCAGTAATCATGGTTAACAAGGGAAATGAGGATAGCAGATAGTTGAGATGGTATCAGTGAAAGCGATTACAGAAAAATAATATATTGTTGCTATAATACGGCTAGTAAGGACACCCTTATGAAAAAAGTACTTATGAAAATGAAGACAAAAAGAAAATATGCTATGCGACAGATGACAAATTTGAGGTTTTTGTGTTACCGCTTGTCAGCACCCTGACAGATGTGACTAAGAGATCACTGGATTGTCACTGATCCTGGAATCCTTCTCAATGCACAACACAGACAGCCACTACCAATCACTGAAAGTTAGCACTGCAACCTATTTGTCAAACCTGCTCTCAGTGACATTGTTCAGGATGCTCAGTCAGGAATCTTCCCCACAGGCAAATAGGAGAGGACTGTGTCTAGTCTCCCAGGTTGTGGTCAAGCATGGGCTGACTATTAAAAATTTGTAATAGAATGAAAATTCTCAAAAAGCAAAGTGGAAAAATATTACAGCAGATAATGTTATGAACTGGTACGTGGGGTAAATTTTTAAAAGGTAACTGCCACCCACAATTAGTCTATCTATGACTTTAAATCATAATAAATACACATTATTGAAACTGTTTTATTGTCAGTTACCAATAACAGCCTTTAATTTCCGGTGCATTGTGGTTGAGTAAACTGTTGTTTCAGTGTCTTGCTGCCTTTTAGTGATTGCTTTCGTTGCAAATGTATGACTGTATTTTTTTTAAGTGCCTCTATCAACAGAATTGAAACCATTCTAAATTGCGGATGGCAGTTAGCTTTCCCTAAATAAAGGGCAAAATCCTGTATTGTTACTTTTAACAAAAAAGAGTTTCCTCTCATTGAAATTAGTGATAATATAATTCTTATACAAAATCAAATTTTTAAGTCTTTAAAAATTTCTATTACAGTGTGATTTGACTTACATTCATGAAAAGGAAACACAGTCTATATTCATACAAAGTAAAAATGGAAATACAGTGACAGTGGTTTAGTTTTAGTTATCTTAATTTCCAGAAAAATAGTATCCCTATTGAAATGTATTTTAAAATACATGCAGTCATTGAACTATATTTGAAATATAAGTCATAATTCTAGTTTCACAATAAAACTGAATACTAAACAAAATATTCTGGGAAAATTAAGTAAAAAATATTCATTGAAATCAAATAAATGTATATTTCAGGTGAAAATAACTTTGTTCTGTTGCAATTCTACATTACACAACTTCACCAAAATGTTAAGTCAAAGGCTAATAATGAAACACATCAGAGGAAAATGCACCTCAGTAACCAACCAGCTTAGATAAAGCCCACAATAGTTCAGTCTAACAATGAACCCTGCTTCACATTAAACAGTATACAGTGCTGTTTCCAGCAAAAAACTTTATCAATCCCCGACTTCATTTTGCTTATATACACTTAGCCATATTTAGGATCTGACATAAATTCTGCAAGAGAGCTTAAGGTGTACTGACATTTAGCAATAAAGAACACTCAGCTAAAAGCAACTAAAACCACCATCTATAAAACATTAAGACCAAGTTGCTGGTCTTAATATTATTAGAGAAAGTTTTCTAACATCTCCTTTGAAATAACTAGTAAATAAATCTTTTACCCTTGGCCAAATTCACTGTCATGAATTGTTTTACTGTTACACTTTGCTATGACCTTGTAAGTAATTTCTTTGAAAAATGGGAATAGGTTACACACGAATCAATCTTTTTTGGCTCTAAGATTGTAGCTGCGTATGTGACTAACGTGTGGTACATCTTATCACTATGCTATTCAAGATTATATTAAAACAAATGTTAATTAGTAAGCGAGTCATTGTCTAATGAGATGTACTTACCTCAGGTAAGACAAAAAACAAGTGTTTCTGTCAACTATGGAAACAGCTATCAAAGAATGCTTTCACGCAAAATATGAAAAGCAACAAGGAAATACATGTTTTGTGAAAGAAATTCATTGCCGAACGATAGCAAATATAGCGGCTTTCTAGCATTATATTAATAAAACTGGAAGATGTTTCAAAATGATTCTCCTTACCTGTGTATACAGTTTTTACTCTCCAGATATGCCATACCAGAAGCAGCATCCAATGAAAATTTTACTAATTGTTTGAGTTTTATTTCATCCTTCTTCTTCCTCAGAAAGGAGAGGAAATCACCTCCTAGAAGAATTGACAGATGAGACAAGATCATGATGAAAGTCATATTTGTCACCTATAGAGATACCCGACAGAAAAGCATTCCACATTTAACCATATTTTTTGACCATTTTGTTTGAGGTGGGGATAAAAAGAAAACATGAAAAGAACACAACTTATGAGAAAGCAGACACCACAAATTTTCCTAGATGCACTTTAAGTACTTTTTCAGTGAAAGTACTTTGTCAGTGAAAGTACTTAAAACACATAATAATATTCAAAGTTCTACTTTTTCCTTTGTCATAATTTCTCACCAATTTGCCTGACTAAAATTTTCTAGGAAATTTTATTGTCTCTAATGCCAAATTTAAAATTACAGTTATTATAAGTGGAACAAAAAAGTAGATCATATTGAATTGCTCATCAGAATCAGTGATTGTTTAAAAAGTTGAGATTATTAACAACACCATCACTGACAGTAGAGTCAGACAGAAAAAAAAAAAGCTATGATTTTGATGAGACTTAGTGCTGAGCCAGATTACATCAGGCAGATTCCAGTGACGTCCTAGAGAAACTCGTTAAACCAGTACAGTCCAAAAGAAATATAATGTAAGCCAAGTAGTAATTTTAAATATACCATTAGCCACTTTTAAAAAAGTGACAACAAAAGAGTGAATCTGATTTTAGTAAGTTTTTTCTTTAGCCCAATATACCCAAAATATTATTTTAACAACAGGCATCATTATAAAAATTATGGTAGAGGTATTTTACGTTTTATCATCCTACATCTTTAAAATAGAAGGTGCATTTTACATTTATGGGACATCTCAATTTAGATGTGAATTTTCATTTGAAATATGTGATCTGCATTTAGATTTCATCAAATTTACAGCTGGAGAAGGTAGATTCATATACCTAGTTTGTTCCAAACATACTTAAACTTTCCCAATAACCGAATCATGTATCAACTTTTAAATTTAGATCAATTAAAATTAAATCAAATTTCCTATTCAGTTTTTTAGAAGCACTAACCACATTTCAAAAGCTAAACAGCTCAGGAGCCACATGTGGCCAGCGATGACCACATTATATAGTGCAGCCTTCAAGCTAAATGTCCACTGACAGATGACTGGATAAAGAAGCTGTGTATTCCATCCACAATGGAATACTACTCAGCCATAAAAATATATGAAATAAGGCCATTTGTAGTAATAACGGATGGATTTGGAGACTGCCATTCTAAGTAAGCCAGAGAAAGAAAAATACCATGTAATATTACTCATACGTGGAATCTAAAAAAAAAAAATGACACAAATGAACTTATTTATAAAGTAGAGATAGACTCACAGACATAAAAAACAAATTTATGGTTACCAGTGGGGAGAGGGGAGGGTAGAGGGATAAACTGGGAGTTTGGGATTTACAGATACTAATTACTACATATGAAATAGACAACAAGGTTCTACTGTATCGTACAGGGAACTATATTCAATATCTTGTACTAACCTATAATAAAAAATAATATGAAAAGGAATTTATATATGTATATATATTATACACCAGAAGTTGACACAATATTGAAAACTGACTATACTTCAATTAAAAAAAAATAGTAAAAAATAAAAAATAAAAAAAAATAAAACAAAACAAAACAAAACAAAAAACAAAAAAAAATAGTGTAGACTAAAACTACACGTTCATTAACAACATAGCATTAAAGGCAATGGCTTGATTATTTTTCCTTGTTAATGTATAATGCAGTTCATTATTAAACAAAACAAAACCAAGTTAAAGTATATTAGAATGAATGTTCTCTAAAAACAGTCATTCCTACTTTTCTCTTTCTATTAGGCCCTCAGACATTAAGCCAGAACTCTGAGAGAGGGATTAGCATTTTAATTGTCGTTTCCTGATCTTTATTATCCTCTTCACCAGGGATCTAGGCCTTAAATACAACTACTCTAGAGGTGGAGACTTAATGGCTTTTTCTTTAATGAGAGTATCTAGAAAATAAATACCTGCCTAACTCTCCTTACAATGTTCTCTTTTTCTAATTTCCTCTCCTATTCACAAACCAAGTATTACACAAATTTAGGTGGACTATTTACAAAATCAATAAGCTATATGCTTTAAAAACAATCTTAATGGTGTCAGATAATTTTTTTTGTTCTTTTAAAAAGAATACACATGTATTACTATGAAGACTACTAAAATAGCCTCTATCAATTTTGACTTAATTTTCTGAACAAAACACGTAACTGTAACAGTAAATAGCAAAATTAACTACTAATTTCTCAACTTTTATACGCACCAAAAATGGACTTGAAATCAATATTCAGTTCATTACCTGGACCAATATTCACATGTATTAATTATTTTGTTAGATATATATTGGTCTATTTTATAAAAAGTGCACCCTCTTGGTCTTTAAACCACATTAGCATTTTATTTAAACTATGTAATGACTTTTTTAAAAAAATTTTTGGCAGGGGGAGGTAATCAGGTTTACTTATTTATTTTTAGAGGAGGTGCTGGTTATTGAACCCAGGAGCTCGTGCATGCTAAGCACGCATTCTACCGCTTGAGCTACAATACACCCCTCCCCACTGGAATGACTTTCAAATGAAAAAAAAATCTTTCGTGGAATTTGATTTAAAGCATCATCTGACATAACCTCAGTGTTCTGTGGAATCCTAATATAATTTCTTTCCAAAATTAGCTCACATTCACCACTTTTCCTTCTACTTTCTGCTCTTTTTAAATTTAGTCCTTCATATAGTCTTTCTCGCACCCCAACCCCCAGCCCAGACTGTACATCCTGTAAAGAGAGTTGTGCTTCTGTTGTTCAGCATGATAATTTCAGCACCTACTACAGAATGTCTAGCATGCATGTAATACCTCAGTAAGCATTTCTTGAATGAATGAGTGAGCAACGTATAAATATCTCCTTGTTCTTGCAGATTATAAACTACCCATGAAGACAAGCTACCTAAGAAATTTTTTATTAATTTTAAACATTTCTTCCTAAGCCCCTCTTCAATGGTTAGAACTATGCCTTTCAAGCACTTGTTAAATGCTAAAATAATGTTTAGGAAAGGATGACATTACATTTCTTATCAAAGGCATCTAATGAATGCCATAAAATTCTTCATATTCCGACAACAAAACTTAGTTTAAGACTGAGCTCATCTTGATAGATGCTTCTCTAACACTACATCAAACTGCATCATTAAAAAAAATAATAATTTGCAGAGGAGCAATCCTCAGTAGATAAGACTATAAACCAACAAACACATACTATATTAATAAACAAAGAAAAGACAACACTTACACTGCATTAAAAATTGCCTGAAAAAAATGATGCCGTCAATAAAAGTACTAGGAAGGTAGAGTTAGATATAGCTATTTGCAAATACTGTGACACAAAGATACAGACGAAGGTGTATCTGATTGTCTCTTAGCTAATCCAACAATATTTCTGCCTTAGAGAAATTTCCTGCTTAAAATCATTAAATCATTAAAGTAAATTTATTTTTTTCCCAATTTTTAGTTATTCATTACACAGACCCAGTGATCTTAAGTAAAGGAACAGAGCTGCACCATCCCAAAGCCCTCGTCAGCTTCTTGCAGAACACTGTACAGAAGAAAGACCTCCAGTAGAAATTTAAATGATTATGATTCAGTACTGAAAGCCGAAGCCTTGGGCAAGTGCACGCATTAAGAACTCTGAAGCAAAAAGTAAACTCTCCAAAGGACAGATTATGAGACACCAAGAAAACAACTCGGATTGGGCCAGAAATATTCCTTTAGGCACTCTACTTCATTAATACCACTACATGAAGAACTGGAGACCACATCAGATGATAAAATCCTTAGTATTCACTGTGAAGTTACTGTAGAGGATAGCATCTGTTCCTTTGAACTCATCCTTCTGTCATTTTCATTACATGCCAAGTTAAAGAACCTCTCTTAGAATGTGTGATATATACAATAATCATATTTGCAGCACATATGTATTTATGCGTATACGTGTTGGTATACGTACGTGTGTGTGTGCACATAGCCTAGAGGATCTCACCTGACCACTGTGGTAAGGATCTTGGTATTCAAAAATGGGCAGAACAAGACAGCAATTCCCCTTTCATAATTCTGTCTTAACAAGGCTTATTTCTGTATAGGTATACTGCACATTAAACCAAGATAAAATGGATTATTTTCTAGAATTCTTCACCAATGATGAATTTCTCAGACAATTCTTAGCATGTTTTCATAGCCAACTTTTGGTTTACGATGGAAACAGTATGACATGGTGAAAAGCATGGACACCGAAGTTACACTGATCTATGTCTGATTATCTGTGTAACCTTTGGTAAGCTGTTCAATCTCTCTAAACTTCTTTAAAATATAAGGATTTATTTCATTTATTTCTCAAGATGGTTTTGAAGACTAAAAGGTATCTAAAGCACTAAGCATATGCCTTGCACATGGTACACACAAGAAATACTAGTACAACTTATTATTTTTATTACTGAAGTTACTTTGCATATAAAATGAGGAAGAGCTACAGCAGGGACTAGTTGTTTGTTGCATGTCAATTTTCCCTCATTCCCCTCAATTTCCTTTAGAAGACTGTCCTTCTCCCATTTCGAAAGGTATTAACCTGACTTCAACAGTAAGGGGGTGAGGGGTTCTAGATTTGCTTAACCCAGTCAACGAAGCCCATTCCCCACTGACTGGCTCAGGGACAGGCACAGTGTTAAATTCAGCCCACTGACATACAAGGAAACTTTTTTTTTTTTTTTTGAGAGCAGTACCAGAAAGGCAGTGTTCCCCGCAAGTGGAAGTGTAAAGGACAGCACGTGGTGCCACAAAGACTGGCAGCCTTGGGATGAAGCTATCACCCCAAAAAGCAGGAAAAGTGAAGGAAAGAGAATAGTTTTTGGTGACATGTTTGAACTACTGGATCAAACACTGTCTAAAGAGTGACTTCCCTCTAGATTTTTCTATTAAGTGAACGAATAAAA